ACATGGTGTAAGTTCCTCATCTCACGATCCTTAACTTCGTCATATCTTTTCCTGTAGAAGATACTGACATATCTTTTTTGAGGTGCAGGAAACCAGGAATACCTAACTGGAGGGGGTGAAGAGAGATGAGACACGAAGATAATTTTGAAAGAGGGGCCCAGGGCTCTTGCCTCTAGTGGACAAAGACACCTGACTGTTAGGTTCGCCTTGCTTTTATTCAACTTAGGCAAGGGAGCAAGCAATTAGATTAAACAACAATCCACCTGTTTCTCATTCTCTGCAAAGTGTACTGAGCTAAGTATTTCTCTAAACTAGATCTCAGCTGTTGGCGACTTTTTCTCTGGAACTTGCCATGTGCCCGCATGCCCGCATGTTGTCAAAGGAGAATCAGATTTTTGTTCCCTCCTTTGTGTCCACAGGGAAGGTCAGCTGGGCCTCATCCTTATGTCTGGTTTCCCACGATGGGGGATGCCAGCGTGTACCGTTTATCCTTCTGTAACTGTCACACTCTTTTGGCTCTCCTCAGCCCCAAATGAGATGGAAATCTGTTTATTCAAGTAAACAAGAAATCTTCAACCAGTAGCTGCCTAACCCACAGCAAATATCACTTTATATTCAGCTTTCCCATCACAAAACAAATGAAGCCACACAAACAACACAGTACAATTTAAATGGTTTAACCTTTTTACCTCCTTAGCTACAGCAGCAGGCAACAAAAGTCCTACAAAGTCATATAAATTGCTCAAAGTCCTCTTCTATTTAAGTGCTAATCCTATATTGGAATCCACATTTCTTTGTCTCCAAAATATTTACCTTCCCCAAGGGTCAGTTCTCATCCTGGTTTTTATTCAACAGATTCAATTCTTCTTTTTCTCTCTCTCTTTATTTTTAACAAGAGCTGTTTCATTGACAGAAAACACCTGTACAAAATATTACATTCATTTGGGTTAAAAGCAATCAGTTCTTGAATTAAATAGTATGTTTTGAAAGTTTAAATGAATTTAGCTTTTTATGCATTGGTGCTTAAATGGTAAGGTAATGTATAATTTCTTCTCAGTGTTAAAAAGTAATTCATATATGTTATTTTAATCCTGAAACAAAATTGAGATAATTTTAGTATTTAATATAAAAGGTAGAAAGCCAGGCACCTGTGTAATTTAATAGATGAGCACAGGTGTAGGCTTTAGAAAATTTATAGATGAGAAAAAGTGTATTCCTACTACCCTTTGCTTTTTGTGAACTCAGTAGCGAATGAAGACCCTTGTCTTGCATCAAACTAGCTAAGACAAGAATAAGACAGACAGACTGATAACACATAATTGCATTATATATAATTGAGCAAGCATACACACTTATCAGTCTTATAAATAGTTATACTTTTAGAACTATATCAGACATCCTAAAATATAATTTCTCTTGAGGTATTCTGGCTATGTTAGGGTTTTCTCCTCTTGGTCCCATGGAAAAACACTTGGTCTAAACTGCCATTGTGCTGTCTATTTCAGCTTAATGATTTGGCCATTGCATCATCCAGACTTGTCTGGTTGCATACAACAAATAGTAGTTTCAACCGTAATGAAAGAGATTTGTTGGTAGAACACCAAAAGCTCACTGTATGGAGAGGACTGATGAAACAAGCCCAGGGAGACAGACACAAAGGTTGCTCCCAAAGAGTGGGATGCATGAACCACGAGAAAAGGTGGGTTTGGAAACAACTGGGACAAAGAATCCTGCCATAATGAACACTCAGCCACTGTAGCCTTCTTAATCTGATCAATTAAATTTCAAGGACGCAGTTATTAATTAATCACACGCTCATAGCTGGAAGAGAGTAGGCAGTTTGATACATCAAACAATGCTTAAGGTATCTCAAGCCAGGGGCTGGGATGTAGCTCAGTGATGCAGCTGCCTGCCTTGCAAGCGCAAGGTCCTGAGTTCGATCCCCTGTACCAAAAAAAAAAAAACCCAAAAGATGTTTCAAGCCATGGCACAAAAGCAACCCTCACAAAGTCATCAACAACTACCAGAAGAGTAGGAGGAAGGAGGAACATTTCCTCAAGAGAAAGTGGGAACTCTGAGGTCAAGAGTTCTGCTTTTCAGTCTTTGCTCTCAGTGCCAAACACATCTGTTCCCAAATGAGGCGCAATTACAGCTTATGGACTCATACTGCTGAAAATAATCACAACTGGCAAATTGTGGAAAGATTTCTTCAGCTATGAAGAACCATTGCCTTTAATGCAATTCTGACACTTAATTCTTATTTTCTTTTTACCCTAAAAAATGTATTGTAAAGAAATGATGAAAGAAAAAAATGTGAAAAGTAAATTATTGCACAGTGTGTACCTCTGAGGCAGAAGTGATGAATAAGGACTCATATATTCCTTTTAGTAGCTCCTGACCCAGTAAGTGGGCTAACTGTTGGGCTGAATGTTTAAAACAGTGAGGAGAATGATGAGTATTCTGGTGCCAAAGGGTTAGTGTTCATCATGATATTATCTATATAACCCAAAATGGAGAACTGCCAAAATCTTCAACCATGACACACGTTTTTCTAAATCTACTATATGGGATTTTGTACCTGTAAATTTTAAATAAAAACATATGGCAGGTATAGCAACATTTTATATTAGATGGGTAAATGCAGAACAGATATCTCGAGTACTGTAATTGTGGCAGTGTATGATATTCATGAACAAAAGCATGAAGACAGAGAAACAGCATTGAGAAATAATAATACTTATTGCAAGAATCTATGTTTTCTATTTCTTTTCATGCTGCCATTAAAAGAAATTTATAAGGCAATGCTGAGACTGCTTATTCAGTTACCCAGTTGTTCAACAGAAACGAAGTACCCTAAAAGTGTTCCTTTGCTGGTAGTGTGATTTAATGTGTTCTTCATGTTTTTTGCAGCCCTGGTTCTTGCTGAAACTGCTGGGGGAGATGGAGATTCTTCTTTAGCACTCATGTTTATTTATTCCCTCTGTTCTTCGCAGCCTGCTTTCTCAAAGCAACTGTTAAGCTGAAAGTCATGAGAAGGCAGGTGGTGGATGCTCAGTAGATCTTAGCTGGAATAAATAGCTCCTTGACTCTTGTTAGGAGTGATTTTCTTACTGGCACTGCTATCAAATAGTACCTACCTGAGAGCTCAATTGCTCCAAACTCTCTGTTGAAAATACAGTTGTTCTTTATGCTGTAAACATGTTTCTTTAGGTTTATCTAGATCTACAGAACTCCTTGAATTTCATCAATTCTAACCTTTAGAGGCTTTCTGTATCTGATCAGTGCCTGATCTCTGTTAAATCAACATCATCACCATTTACTTGGTTGTTTTAATTGCTTCTTCACTGGTCTCACAATGCTAATTTCTGTGCTGCTTGGTCTGCACCCTGCTGCCACGTCATGCTATCAGGGCTTGGGCTGTCAGAAGTCTTTTTGAGCACATGCCTGGCAATCCCTTTTGGCTAATAAATTGAACACAAATTTTTGTAGCTCAATTCTGTGGGGCTATACTTTTCAGCATTTTTTATACTCACTGTACTCCTACTCTGTAAACTCTGGTGCTAGCAACTGGCACTGTTTTTGTGTTCTTTCAATGATTTCCTTCACCTGCTGTGTCCCTCCATTCCTGCCTTAGCCATTCAGTGGTACATTTTTGAAGATGCTTTTCTCACCATTCCTTTTCTTATTGTACTAAATAGAATTGATCTTCATCATTTCAAAGGACATAGCAGCGGTTTTGGTTTTCTTGTGCTTGGTGTGCTTTAAAGTGACTTGAGTAACAGATTAAACAAACTCGAGAAGACGAAAACATCACCTACATTCTCTTCGCAACCACTGAAGGCATCACGCAGAGCAGATTTGTTCCTTGCCTTAATTTAAATGCGAGCTGCAAGGCTTATTTATGAGCACGAGTAGGATCAGTGGGAGAAATTTTGTTTTCCCATTATCTTTATTTATTTATTTTACTCCCAGAGAAGATAGCAAGGGAGGAGCGGAGGTAGGTGTTCTAAGCAAAGGATGGGAAAGAGATAAAGAGCGGGAGAGGGGATGTCAACACTAATGCCTTCTGGATTTCAATCAACGAATTTGAAATTAAATATACAGAAAATTAGGTAAACACTATGCAGGAAGTAGAACAATTGAAAACCTCGGGCACATTTTAAGTCCTCTGACAGCACTATGTCTGTCTTTATCTTCTTGGGTCCCCGGTGGTTAGAAACTTCATCTCTTCCTCACCTGTGATACACTGTGTCCAAGCTCCACACTCAGGAAGCAGAATTCACTGAATTTGCTTTTTGTCTATCAGAAGTGTGCTTGTGGATCGATGAGTATAATACCAAATTTTAATCAGCTCTACCCAAGTAAGCATACATTTGAGTGGCGAATCTTAACACCTATCTAAACTGACAGGTACATGAAATTGTTGTAGAGTCCTTCTCTAATGAGAACCAGCAAACTTTTTCAATTTAAATGAAGTGCTCTTAAAGACATAAATTCGAGAATAATATTGAAGATTCTCAGATATATAAAGCAAAGCTTGGTTAGTGAAGCGATGGTATGAAAATAATCATCTATGAAACTTATAAGGTGTTAAAAATTTTTTATTGAGACAGTGAGACTTGCATTTGTTTTTCAGATATCCTGCAGATTTATGAAGAGAAAAGACTGTATTCCTACCTTTTGTGAGACCAGAATGTTTAAAATAATATCTTCCTATTTAAAAAGTAGCTATTTTCAGTGTGACAGTAATCCCATTGGGTATATCAATGAAAAATTGAATAGAAATTCTTTTATTTAATTTCAAAGTTAAGAATTTTAAGGCACAATTTTTAGGATCTCAATGTATGCAAATTTTAATTTTCTTTTTCTCTGAGAGCAAGGCTGCAATTGTATCATGTGTTAACATCACCATATGGACATGTTTGTTGAGTCTATTCCTCTCATTTTTAATGATTTCTCTCTCTCCCTCTCTCTCTCTCTCTCTCTCTCCCTCCCTCAAGCCTCAGGAAAGTGCTTCAGGAAACAAGGAGACCTCTGGAATTGAGTCAACAAAAGAAGAAAATCCAAGTACCACTGTGTGTGATTCTCAAGATGTAAGACTAACATAAAGTGTTTTGAAAACAAGGACATAAATGTTTAAACAATTCTAGTTCATGCCCCCATGAAACTTTCTACTTACCTATTATATCTACTATCTAAGCACTGAGATTCTAAGTGGAGGAAACTAATGTTCTTTAGTTATAAATCAGACATGCATTCTATTAGGAAGTGCAACCAGATACTTAGGAGAACTATAATGGGAGATCTGAAGGATATAATTGGTGACCACAAGCTCGACATTGTCCTCATTTCCGTAACAACAATTCAAAAAGCTGTTAAAATATTAACAAGAAAAAATGAACGAAAACCTCACAAGACGAGATTCGACAGTATTGTCCACCTAATAGAAATAAATTTGCATTACAGAAATATCATATTAAAGGAGCAGATATACTTATCCTTCAAATGAGAATAGAAAATATGGAACTTAAGTCTTGTGATTTTTTAAATTCATACTAAGTACAATTAAATTTTAATTCTTGAAAATATCAGCTCTGTAGAAGTAAACTTATAGAACTATCGTGTCTTGATTTAAGAAGCAACACCTTTTAATTGTATGGAGCAAATTCAAAATTAGGCTTCAATCCAAAATGGAAAGCATCTGTTGAAAATATTTGACCTTGAAGGTAATAGGGTACCTACTAAAAAGAAAAAAGTGAGAACAAATATATGGTAACCAAATCATCCTTTCATTCCTCTGCTGGCTACAAAAGGAGATTTAGAAAAATGAAATTCTCAACACTCTTGATTTGAAATTGTTTTATAATGAAACATGTACCCAAATTGTGCAATTGGGAACCGAAAATTAACTAGAAGTAGAAGTAAAATGCTCTGCATAATTCATCTCAGGGAAGGAAGAGTCAGAAAATCTTTGGGTAAGAAAAAATATTTTTACTTTAGTTTGAAGGACAGGTAGATCTTTGACAATATAAACACATTTTCAGAAGCAAGAGAAAAAGAGCGATTTGAAGAGGGAACAGACTCCAGATAATGGGGGGATATTGATTCTAAAATTAATTTGGCATTAGAAAGTGAGGAATGGTGGAATGCTAAGCTAAGGACTGATTTGGATTAGGGAGATAGTTCTTTTCAAACATGTATGTCCACTTGGTGACAAAAACATAGTGTTAATTTTGAGATGAGTTCTTTTATTTCTTGCAATATTTCATGAAACTACATAAAAAGATGCCGTCATTAGAAGAAAAACTGAAAAGTAATGTCTACTTTGTTAAAGCTCCCAAAAGCATCATTCTGATCTACCTTTCACACCAAGAGTTAGGACTATTCAAAATCATGCATTTGTCTGTTTCTCTCTTCTTCAAACATCACTTTCCTTCGTCTGTCCTAACTTATTTCCCTTGATAAATAAGTGTCAGAGGCATCTCATAACTGGAACTGGCTCTGACCTGAACTCCTTCAAATATGTGCCTCCACCAGCAGGAACCTGACCACTATCTCTCTAACATGACCTCCCTGGGGTTCAGAGTTTAGGGTCTCTAATCCCCTAATGCTATTATTTCTAGTGTAGCAAATGCTTGGTATTAGAAGATACAGATTCAGTCATAGTTACTGGCAAAGAAAATAGTAGAAATGAGTGAAATTAATCAGATATAAGAAGTAAAAATTAATGAGACTGGTCTGAAGGTCAAATACAAGTATGAGAGCAGTGGTTCTTAGCATTGTCTTTGGAATACTATCGCTGAGAGAGCTCTTAGAAAATACTGTCAGCCAGGTTGTACTACAGAAAAATTATGTCAGCATCTCAGATCTGGACATCTCTGGTATTTATATTTAAATATCTCCAGTTGATTCTAAAGTGCAGGTCATTTTTACTAACAATGGATTTCATATGTAAAAGATTGGACAAAGTCAGCTTTTGAAAGACTACTCTAAATATCTAAATAAATAAAACTAAGTAGAATTTGTCATTTGATTTTAAAAATGGAGAGAACTACTCTATTCCAGTCCAAGTCATCCTGAGCCATGTGGGCTGTGAATCATAATTTTAAAAGCATCGTTTTAAATAAGACATAATCCCTGTAGTATATCACTCAACAATAGATTTTTTTACACCTTCTGCATTTTATTAAATTTTGAAGATGGTAACTTCTAAGTAAGGTTCTGTAGTTCTGGTGATGACCGAGGTGGTGTGTGACGGAGGTAGACAGGCTCTATCTTAGAAGGCTGAATTTAGTATAAAATAGTATATGATATGTATATGTGCATATGTATACAGATGAATATAGGAGACACGTGATATATGTGTATATGTATATATTTGTGCTGATAGAGGGCTGTAATATTGATCAAGAAGCTGGTTTGTGACGTTATTCATTGCTAAGCATTCTAGAGAAAGCTAGTGAGCTGTGGTGATTCAAACTACACAGCACAGTGTATGACTAATTCTAAGAACTGAGGATCCTACAGTTCCTTCTCACCACTTCTTAATGGTAAGAGGCTAATTCTACTGACTTCCTTAACTTACAGGAAGCAAGTAGAAGGATCTTTGTACCTGTGAGAGCTATTGTTTTTGTATTCATCTAACTTTAGTCCAAATATTACGATTGGTATAAAATATAGCGAATTTCAATATAGCAATATGAAAACATTGTCAACCTGCTTATATATTAAGCTAGAATTTTAAGTTCTAATTTGATTTATTTTACCGACTGTCTAAACTGAGAAAATGGCATTATTTAATATGTAAAGAGCACAAATAATTTTCCATATGTGCATTCTATACATTTTTGTATCTATTATGAATTTTAGGAATATATTTTTGTGACTTACTTTTAACTAGAAATTAAATCAGGGATACTAAGATTTATACAACAAAATGGAGTAGCAGATAAAGTAGTTAAACATTACTTAATGCTTAGTGTTCTAGAAAGCAGGACTACTTTTCGTTAAAGAGCTAGACACAGCTGATGAAAACATAGAAATAATATTTCAGTCAAATATAAAAATAAACTTTTATGAAAGTATCTGAACTAGAATAAGCAATTGGAAGATGTATTTTATGCTACACTAATGAAAAACAGGTTTTCCAGAAGGAGGTCAGGATATAAAGCATTAGGATAAAAGAAAAGAACAATCATCTTTGATTTTGGGATGCTTAACTAACTCACTAAGAAGTGATAGGAATAAATACAATCTCTCAGTAAATATATGGTTAAAGTTTTGCATTTTGATTCTTATTAGTCACACACTAGCTTGAATAATATCATAAAGTGTGAAAATTACATAGAAGCTACATTTGAATACCACTTTTGCTGTTTCCCAATACTGCCACTCCGGCAAATCCTTCCATTATTCAGATTTTTTATCAAGTGAAGTAGATCAATGGTTTTCAAGCTTTGTTATGACTAGGCATCACGGCCAGCCAGTACAACTGCTTATGTATATGTTCTGCTTGAATGTATGATTAACTCGCATGCATGGCTGGGACAGGGTGCAGGAACCCGAATGATTTTAATAAACCCACTCAGATTTTCTTCATCATCATTTCATGCTGACATTATGAGAAACTTTGATGTTCACATCTTGTAGATTTTTTGATTATACACATTAAATATGCTTTATACACCCACATCATAGGTTTTCATAGTAGGTTTTTTATTTCTTTCCCTCAAGCTGCTCTGCAGTTTTAGTATTCAAAGTTTCACAATATTCTGTGGCCAAAGATTCAAAGTTGGAATGAGAGGCCACTCTTATTCTGGGTTTGTTGCACTGGCTGCCTATCTGCTTTGTGGGCCCAGCAAGGGTACATAGGAATACGTCTCCTTGGTCCTGCAGTCCATTTTTCACTAGACTTAGAAGACCTGAGCTACAGCACTGAGAGCTTAGCATCATAACGGGCTGTGACTTTGAGGTACATGTAAGTTACTTCAGAAGCAGCATCGCTTAAATGATAACATTGGATCACATCGAGAAAGCAGGTGTACCGGCTCCATTCCATTTTCCTGCAGTTTGGAAATGTGCATCCTCTTGTTTGACAGCAATTTGAGAATTAAAGGCATTGAGAATTTTAATTTTCACTTAGAGACTAAGAGGTGATGCTCAGTGTAAATATGTTTTTCATTCCTGTATGCCACAAACATCTGATTTTTCTGAATGTGCTGAGGACCTAAAAAAGCAACAATGGATAATGAGCAGCACCAGGAGCCTCTGTCTGCTGGGGTTCCTACCCCTTTACCTGCTGCTGAGACCCTGAGTCTTTCAAACAGCAGTGTAGGTAGGGAAAGGAGAAAGGGCAAATGCGCAGAACATAAATCACAAGGCTGCAGGTTGAAAACTGCTCCAGCTTTCTCCTCTTACTTTGTGATGTTATATCCAGCATCCACTGTGTGACACGTGATCTTTGTCATGAGTTGCTGGCCAGCACCTAGTTTACAGGATTTTGCAGAGAAGCCCTGCCCTGCCGCACCTGTGCTAAGAGCCATACACCTCGGGGCCATCTGAAGAGGTCGGCTTGGGCGAAACCACACTTTATTGTGCTACTTCTCCTGATACTTCTCAAAGGAGCAGTATGGCCCCACATGATGAAAGAATGGGCGACCATTTCCAAAAATCTTGAGAATATTTTTTCCCCATTAGATAGAAAGCTCTATGTTTATCTTCTTATAACACCTTAATTTGTATCATGCCAAATTATGAAGCTAATTGTGATTTATTTTCAGAGACTTATGGAAATCTTAAGAATCATGGTTAGCCTATTAATTTAGTGAAGAAAAAGAATTCACTAGTCTATAACTATTTACTCTAAGAATATCGTCCCAATGAGAAGATCCAAAGAAAACACTTAATCTGATAAATAATACTTTGACCTCTACTATCACTTTGAAAGGCAGGTAATGATTTTTTCCTGGATTTCCTATAGTATTTTGTTTATATATGTAGCATTTTTTTGTGGGGGTGTACCAGGGATGGAACTCAAGACCTTGAGCTTGCAAGGCGGGTGCAGCGCCACTGAGCTAAATCCCAGACCATGTAC